TCACTAACTTATCGGCACCTAACTTATCGGCAAAATGTATTTCATTAATAATTATAATAGAAATCGAAAAAAGATTACAATAAATTAATTATAATTCAAAAATTATTTAAATAGGAATGTAAAGAGATAATTAATAAAGAAAAGAAGGAACATTTGATTATTATATTTAACAATTATGTATATATAATTTATATATATTTTTAATTTATATATAAAATATATATAAATAATATATAAATAAATAAGATAATTTTTAAAGTTAATTGAGTATTGGTGTTGTCCCTTAAATATATAAATATATATTATATATTGAGCAAATACATACGAAGACAGCAAGAAGTAATAGAAATAAATAAAATAAATAGAAATAGAATAAAAATTGACTCTCAATGCAATCTCTTGTTAAAGATATTTTTTTAAGGAGAGGATAAACTGGAATAGGAGTTGTGAACTAGCGCCATCTTTTAAATATTTTAAGAACGATAGTCTCACATGGAAATGACTCTGATAATCAAGAGATGGCGCCTCAATATTTATTCTACATAATTCTATTTATAAATAAATTTTAAATTTTGGAGATAATTAATTATAATGTAAAATAAATAATTTTCAATTCTCTTCATTTTTTTTTTGGTTAGTTTTTTAATTAATATACTTATTTCATTTAAAATTTTTTTATCTCTATATTTATTTTTCTTGTAATTGTTGATATTTTTTTTATATGTTCATTTTATTATTTAATTTTTCTTTTAATTTTTTGTATAATTTCTTCAATTTTTTTTTAAATCTTTTCATCTTTTCCTATTTTTTTTTTGTAATTTTGTAATTTTGTAATTTTGTAATTTGAATTCTTTTTTTTTATTTTCATTTATATTTCAAATTATTAAAAAAAAATTTTTATATTTTCTATCAAAAAAACAAAAAAAATAAAAAAATATTGCAAACATAAAATAAATTTAAATGTAAATAATTAGAAACAAAAATAATATAAAAATTATTTTTATTATGAAAATTATTTATAGGATGCAATATATCTTTACAATATGATTTTTTTTTACAATGATCGCAATTTATTATTCACACATCATACACAAATCACGCTGAAAAATCACTCGCATCGAATAAATTAAATTACATATAATAAATTATAACAAAAAATTAAGTAAAATCCTACATTATCCATCGTCGTGAAATTTTATTCTAACTTAATACTAAATCTAAAATCTATAATACATCACTTACTTGTAGCATCCGTATCAAGATTATTCTCCATTAATTTAAAGCGAAAAAAATTTTAAATATTGATTATTTATACCAAAAGAAACTGACACTCAAGACACTCAAGAAAAGAGAACTTGTCTTAATAAAAATTTAATAAAGAACGCAAGTGTTTAAAAAGAAAGTTAGAGAGAAAAATAAAAATTGAAGAAGGACTAATAAAAATGAAAAAGAAATCTAAACGATTAACTTTCTTTGAATTATTACCATTCTATCACGATTTACATCAGTAGATTTACAAATATCATCGAAGTGATGATATTCACTAGATTACGACAATAGTCTAACGAAAAAAACGCCTCATGTCCTAACACCATTAACACAGGAAAAATCCTTGACCGGATTATCAAAACGATGTCAAGATCTAATTCTAACCGAATACTTGAAAGTGTCAATCGATTAAAAATTCTTGATTAATCACCGAAAATAAAATCCAGTAATTTTGACTACTGTGATTGACGGTGAATCGAACAAGATTCGAAGAAAACGAAGGAAAATCAACAAAATGTTAAGTTAGAGAATGTATCTTGATACAGAATGCGCTTACAATAAACATAATCTAATATTCATTTATTAACTAATGTATTATTAAAATGAAAAAGAAATCTAAACGATCAACGATTTGTATTAACAATATAATTTGTATTAACAATATACTTGTTTTATTAAAAAAAAAAAAGCTACTAAAATATATTATACCTAAATACATAGAATATAAAAATTTTATCAAA